GTTTGATACCAGAGTGTGCTCAGTTTGATACCAGTGTGTGCTCAGTTTGATACCAGTGTGTACTCAGTTTGGTACCAGTGTGCTCAGTTTGATACCAGTGTGCTCAGCTCGATACCAGAGTGCGCAGTTAATTACTAGTGCTCAGTTTGATACTAGTGTGCTCAGTTTGATACCAGTGTGTTCAGTTTGATACCAGATTGTGCTCAGTTTGATACCAGTGTGTGCTCAGTTTGATACCAGTGTGTTCAGTTTGATACCAGATTGTGCTCAGCTTGATACCAGAGTGCTCAGCTTGATACCAGTGTGCTCAGCTTGCGCTCAGTTTGATACCAGTGTGCTCAGCTACCAGTGTGCTCAGCTTGATACCAGAGTGTGCTCAGTTTGATACCAGTGTGCTCAGCTTGATACCAGAGTGTGCTCAGCTTGATACCAGTGTGCTCAGCTTGATACCAGAGTGTGCTCAGTTTGATACCAGTGTGTGCTCAGTTTGATACCAGAATGTGCTCAGTTTGATACCAGAGTGTACTCAGTTTGATACCAGTGTGCTCAGTTTGATACCAGAATGTGCTCAGTTTGATACCAGTGTGTGCTCAGTTTGATACCAGTGTGCTCAGTTTGATACCAGAATGTGCTCAGTTTGATACCGGAGTGTACTCAGTTTGATACCAGTGTGCTCAGTTTGATACCAGAATGTGCTCAGTTTGATACCAGTGTGTGCTCAGTTTGATACCAGAGTGTGCTCAGCTTGATACCAGAATGTGCTCAGCTTGATACCAGAATGTGCTCAGTTTGATACCAGTGTGCTCAGTTTGATACCAGAATGTGCTCAGTTTGATACCAGAGTGTACTCAGTTTGATACCAGTGTGCTCAGTTTGATACCAGAATGTGCTCAGTTTGATACCAGTGTGCTCAGTTTGATACCAGAATGTGCTCAGTTTGATACCAGAGTGTACTCAGTTTGATACCAGTGTGCTCAGTTTGATACCAGAATGTGCTCAGTTTGATACCAGTGTGCTCAGTTTGATACCAGAATGTGCTCAGTTTGATACCAGAGTGTACTCAGTTTGATACCAGTGTGCTCAGTTTGATACCAGAATGTGCTCAGTTTGATACCAGAGTGTGCTCAGCTTGATACCAGAATGTGCTCAGCTTGATACCAGAATGTGCTCAGCTTGATACCAGAGTGTGCTCAGCTTGATACCAGAATGTGCTCAGTTTGATACCAGTGTGTGCTCAGTTTGATACCAGAGTGTGCTCAGCTTGATACCAGAATGTGCTCAGCTTGATACCAGAGTGTGCTCAGCTTGATACCAGAGTGTGATCAGCTTGATACCAGAATGTGCTCAGCTTGATACCAGAGTGTGCTCAGCTTGATACCAGAGTGTGATCAGCTTGATACCAGAATGTGCTCAGCTTGATACCAGAGTGTGCTCAGCTTGATACCAGAGTGTGCTCAGCTTGATACCAGAGTGTGCTCAGCTTGATACCAGAGTGTGCTCAGCTTGATACCAGAGTGAACTGATTGACAGAGAACATGCGCGTGACAAGAGAAAATAAATAAATAAATAAATAAATCCTGGAAGCTATTGTCTAATGTTCTTAATAAACGAATATAATTATTTGTAAGATAACTTTATTTAACATATAATATCTGGAGCCTATTCTTATGTACCCAGTGGAGCCTATTCTTATGTACCCAGTGGAGCCTATTCTTATGTACCCAGTGAAGCCTATTCTTATGTACCCAGTGGAGCCTATTCTTATGTACCCAGTGGAGCCAATTCTTATGTACCCAGTGAAGCCTATTCTTATGTACCCAGTGGAGCCTATTCTTATGTACCCAGTGGAGCCTATTCTTATGTACCCAGTGGAGCCTATTCTTATGTACCCAGTGAAGCCTATTCTTATGTACCCAGTGGAGCCTATTCTTATGTACCCAGTGGAGCCTATTCTTATGTACCCAGTGGAGCCTATTCTTATGTACCCAGTGAAGCCTATTCTTATGTACCCAGTGGAGCCTATTCTTATGTACCCAGTGAAGCCTATTCTTATGTACCCAGTGGAGCCTATTCTTATATACCCAGTGGAGCCTATTCTTATGTACCCAGTGAAGCCTATTCTTATGTACCCAGTGAAGCCTATTCTTATGTACCCAGTGGAGCCTATTCTTATGTACCCAGTGAAGCCTATTCTTATGTACCCAGTGAAGCCTATTCTTATGTACCCAGTGAAGCCTATTCTTATGTACCCAGTGAAGCCTATTCTTATGTACCCAGTGGAGCCTATTCTTATGTACCCAGTGGAGCCTATTCTTATGTACCCAGTGGAGCCTATTCTTATGTATCCAGTGGAGCCTATTCTTATGTATCCAGTAGAGCCTATTCTTATGTACTCAGTGGAGCCTATTCTTATGTACTCAGTGGACCCTATTCTTATGTACTCAGTGGAGCCTATTCTTATGTACCCAGTGGAGCCTATTCTTATGTACCCAGTGAAGCCTATTCTTATATACCCAGTGGAGCCTATTCTTATGTACCCAGTGAAGCCTATTCTTATATACCCAGTGGAGCCTATTCTTATGTACCCAGTGAAGCCTATTCTTATGTACCCAGTGGAGCCTATTGCTATGTACCCAGTGGAGCCTATTCTTATGTACCCAGTGGAGCCTATTCTTATGTACCCAGTGAAGCCTATTCTTATGTACCCAGTGGAACGTATTCTTATGTACCCAGTGGAGCCTATTCTTATGTACCCAGTGGAGCCTATTCTTATGTACCCAGTGGAGCCTATTCTTATGTACCCAGTGGAGCCTATTGCTATGTACCCTGTGGAGCCTATTCTTATGTACCCAGTGGAACGTATTCATATGTACCCAGTGGAGCCTCTTCTTACGTACCCAGTGGAGCATATTCTTACCTACACAGTGGAGCCTATTCTTACCTACCCAGTGGAGCCTATTCTTACGTTCCCATTGGAGCCTATTCCTATCCACAGTGGTAGGAATTTTTGAGCCGGTGATCCATTTCCCACTTGAGTAGGTTCTACATTATTGATTAGAACCACGAATCACTTAGTCCATCACAGTCTTCATCAGGTCCAGTTAAACCTTGCCTATTTTTAGGTCCAGTTAAGCTTAGCCTATTTTTAGGTCCAGTTAAGCTTAGCCTATTTTTAGGTCCAGTTAAGCTTAGGTTATTTTTAGGTCCAGTTAAGCTTAGTCTATTTTTAGGAATCAGTTAAGCTTAGCCTATTTTTAGGAATCAGTTAAGCTTAGCCTATTTTTAGGAATCAGTTAAGCTTAGCCTATTTTTAGGTTCAGTTAAGCTTAGCCTATTTTTAGGTCCAGTTAAGCCTTGCCTATTTTTAGGAATGAGTGAAACCTCTGCTTAAAACAGCAGAAACCTTTTTCCCTTTTCCTCGGCTCTAAAAAAAAATCCACAATTCCCCCAGTAGCAGCAGTAGCAGCAGGAGCAGTAACATGATCTCCCGGCTTGATCCGGAGCCATATCGACAGTGACGGATGTTTATGGTCTCAGATTACCATTTCTTGTCCAACTCAGACATAAACAAAGCAAGGGAGGAGGGGGATAGGGTGAGCAGGAGGGGCCACTATTGTTGCCGTCGTCGATAGTGGGAGGAAGATCCCGCTATTGAAGGGGGAGTGATAAGCAACATAAAAGGGATAGGCTACTGTGTTTGTGGCTCTCGAAAACAGAGTCAAATGCCTCTTGTTGTAGAAGCTGGTGATGTGGTGGGCTTCAAGCCCATTCAAGAAGCAAAGTCCTCTGTTATTGATTGATTGATGAAGATTAAGCCACCCAAAAGGTGGCACGGGCATGAATAGCCCGTAAGTGGTGCTGGCCCTTTTGAGCCATTACCAGTATCAAGAGCTGATACTGGAGATCTGTGGAGGCGCGACTGCACCCTGCGTGACGGGAGATGTCTCCCGGACCAAATGGTGACCAAATGGTGGTATCCTCTGTTAAATGGGTTAAAGGTTAAATATCAATAAAACAGTTACATTCCCTTTGGATAGTATATTACAAAACAATAGTATTTTAACATTTCACCAGCACGGCAAAGCAACCTTCGCCACAATTAGCTGCAGTAAGGATTGTAATTTGAAGCATTTAAGTACAGATTCTGTTGAGTTAAAACACACAATAAATGCGTCTCTGAAACCATGGCTGCAACACGGCCCAGCGACGAGTATCTACATATAACATTTCCTGAAGGTAGAGATGACTATGTACAGTGTCATATACGACATGTCCCTAAAATGCTGGCAGGTAAGGTGGGGGGTCGGCTCTCCCATCTCTTGCCCCCGGGGTCTTGTCCCCGGGGTCTTGTTCCCTGGGTCTTGCCCCCGGGGTCTTGCTCCCGGGGTCTTGCCCCTGGGTCTTGCCCCCTAAGTGGTACTCACGCCTCACAGGACGTCAACACGTTTGGCTGGCCGACACCACCACATTTATAAAATGAGGAATGTACTCAAGAATTCACAAATCTGCAACATAATAGTATGAAGATCTTGCGCGTGTAAACTTGTTAAGAGGAGCCTCAGCCAACACAACTTGTCCTGTGGAGGCTGTGTGTGGGGGGGGAGGGGGGAGGGGTTCTGGGCGTAGGGAGGGTTTGAGTGTGTGTGTGTGTGTGTGTGTGTGTGTGTGTGTGTGTGTGTGTGTACTCACCTAGTTGTGCTTGCGGGGGTTGAGCTCTGGCTCTTTGGTCCTGCCTCTCAACTATCAATCAACTTATGTACAGATTCCTGAGCCTACTGGGCTCTATCATATCTACATTTGAAACTGTGTATATCTCCACCACATCACTTCCTAATGCATTCCACCTGTTAACTACTCTTACACTGAAAAAATTCTTTCTAATGTCTCTGTGGCTCATTTGGGTACTAAGTTTTCACCTGTGTCCCCTTGTTCGTCTACCCCCCGTGTTAAACAGTTTATCCTTACCTACTTTATCAATTCCTGAGAATTTTGTAGGTAAAGATCATGTCTCCCCTTACTCTTCTGTTTTCCAGAGTATTGAGGTGCATTTCTCGCAGCCTTTCCTCGTAAGTCATGCCTCTTGTGTGTGTGTGTGTGTGTGTTTGTATGCATCTGTGTGGGATGGCTGGTCGATTTTTGGGTAGGATACATATTGTCGGTGGAGTGGTGTCTGTCGCCTCCCCCCCCCCCCCACCACCACCACACCATATTGCACTACCATCCACCTGACGGTGTCGTCAACCAAACACCACAGCACAAACCCTCCTGAGTACTGAGTACAAACTTACTTATTATGTACAGGAGGAGGAGGAAGAGGCATTGTTTAAGTAAAGCAACACCGATGATTACACATTTCCAGAGTAGAACCCCCCCCCCCCCACTTGAGTCGCACCAATCAGCCTCCCTGAAACAAGTCTCAGATTTGCGCTGCTTACTCGAATGGACTGATAGGCTACAGTCACCGATTAAAAATAAATGATGAATAAACATATGGAAAAAAAAATGCTACGAGTCTCCCATAGACTGCCAGCATACTGAATCCTTCCTGGCGATTCAATCGGCTATACGACAGCTTTTCGGTATGTACAAGAGGAATCAATTAAATATTAATTAATTACCCTGTGATGACTCTACGCGCGTTGGCTACAGTTAGTGAAGGCTTCGTGAAAGACGAATCGCACAACATAGAGAGATCAAAGCCCTCTTGCCCGGCCACCTCGCCACTTCCACAGGGTATCGGACGCCATCCAGGGGAGAGGCGGTGAGAGAGGTGATGGCCGAGTGCTCGCGAGCGAAACACTTTGGCAAGAGGCTGACATGGGCGGCATCAGACTGTGCACATTTGCTCCGTTAATCCCCGGGCGTGCAGGTGGCCGGCCGACTCCTTCCCTCCCCTCCCTCCAGCTGACCTTCCAACGGGCCCTCCACAGTTGCCCTCCATCCCTCACCATCCCTCTGTGGGGGGGGAGGGGAGGAAAGGGAGGGCTCCTTTTTCACCTCTGTTCAGTAGAAAAGCGCCCACGACCTCCTAGCCTGACGGAGGACTAGGCTATCCATCTGGCTCCTGAGAACTCACAGTGTGCGAGCCAGGAGAGAGTGGCACACCCACCTACACCCACCTACAGTGACGTGGGTGGCGGCCAGTGACAGCGGGAAGAGACGGAGAAAGTTCAGCTACGTCGTCGTCCGCCGGGTGGTCGAGTCGTCCCCGTGGTTCACCAACCACCTCATTCGTACACAAAACTGCCGAGCCCGGAGATCCTGGAAACGGGGAACTGCGGCGTAGACGACGCTCAGAGGACCTGGAACTTTTCCCCGAAGTCCATGCAGTCTTGCGAGCCTGGTGTTGTGACACCTTGCACGGGCACGGCGGCGGCGGCGGCGGCACGAGAGTAGTGCTGACTGCCCATCATGCTGTGGGAGCTCATCATGTGGCCGCCCATCTGCTGGAAGCCTCCCATGTGGTTGGTGACGGGAGCGAACTGGCCGTGGGCGCTCATGTGGTGGGGTAGGTATTCCATGCTCATGTTGCCGTAATATGAGGCCGGGCCGTAGTTCTGGTTCCAGGAGGAGCCGGGACTCTTGCTGCTGGGCATGTGGTATGAGGGCGTCTGCATGCAGTTGGCGGTCGAAACGTGCAGGTCGCCCATGGGTCTGAGGCTGGTGGGCGCCCACAGTGACGAGTAGCTGTTGGTGTGGTCGCTGGTGGGCGGCGCTGGCTGGAAGCTGCCGTAGGAGTGTGTGGGCGTGGGCGTGGGCGTGGTGTTGGGCGGTGTGTGTGCTGATGCCGGAGACACCGAGGGCGGCTTGTAGGCTGGCGAGGCGGGGCGAGGAGAGGACTTTATGACCAGAGGCGGCGGCGAGGGCGTAGATGGACTCTTGATCTTCTTGGGGCGCGGGGCGGCCGCCTTGGTGCTGTCGGTGGTGTTGGCGGCGGGGGCGGCGGCGGTGATGGCGGCGGCAGTGCTGCCGCTGCTGCTGCTGTTGTTGTTACTACTGTTCAAGGTGCTGCTGTTGGCGCTCGATGCTCCGCTGTTGCTGTTCTGCTGCTGCGCCTGCTGCCGACACTTGGCTCGACGGTTCTTGAACCAAACCTGCCGGCGGAAAAAGGGAACATTAGTCACCCCACCTGGTCCTAATAAACTTCACCCAGAGAGAGAGTGAGAGAGAGAGAGAGAGAGAGAGAGAGAGAGAGAGAGAAGAGAGAGAGAGAGAGAGAGAGAGAGAGAGAGAGAGAGAGGTGAGAGAGAGAGGAGAGAGAGAGAGAGAGAGAGAGATTCAAGAGAGGAGAGAGAGGAGAGAGAGAGGAGTCACGCCCGACGAGAGAGACGAGGGAGATGAGCGTAGATGAGAGAATAGCGGGACAGAGCGAGAGGAGGAGAGGATGGGAGGATACAGGAGAGGAGAGAGAGAGAGAGAGAGAGAGAGAGAGTCCCTCGACCGTTAGCATGGGATTAAGCCGACAGGAGACAGCGCCATGGCTTAACGGGGGAGAGGAGGCAGACGAGACGCTGCCAGCATCCCAGCATCGGGGGATGATGCTCTCCTCTCCACCCACCACCACGACTCTCCTCAACACTGTTATAACTCTGAATATTACCATTATTGCCATCATTATTGTCACAATCTCCCGTCCCATTCTCCAACTCACAGATACTGCCAGTTTACATGAAAATAATTACTTCTATTTGTAATATCAGGAGGATGTAGGCATGGGAGTATTCACCTCGCAGTATTCACATCCCATGCGGAGGGAGAGGAAGATAGAGAGATAGAGAGAGAGATAGAAACAGAGATACAGAAATGGGAGGCAACACACAGGGGGGGGGGGGGGCAGAGAGAGAGATAGGGTGGGCATGGGAGTGAGTGTAGACATGGGAGTGAGCTTTCATATGGGAGGTTATAAACATATCGAGTGATAATTCTGGGAGCCTGATGCCGCGGCCAGCTGCAGAGATCCTCTGGGGGATTAGTTGCGCATACCAATGAAAGTATTAACGCTATTTATCGTGAAAGATGCAAGGACAACACACAACAAACAAACAAACAAACAGCTCATGTCTGTCACGGTGCAAGCAAACACAAACACACAAATAAACCTGCAAGGCTCAGGGCGTCGAGAGACAAGACAACGTATAGTAACCAGTGCCACTAGGGACACGACGAGAATCTTAAGGAGGACTTTAGAAACAGACGAGCTACAGGTATACAGGGAACCACTCTAGGAACTACTCAAGGAACCACTCAAGGAACTACTCAAGGAACCACTCAAGGAACCACTCAAGGAACCACCCAAGGAACCACTCAAACTGATGTCGCAACACGAATTCGAATAAAGAATAAGGGTGGTGAGCTCGTACACGCGCGTGCACACACACACACACACACACACACACACACACGCACACACACACGCACACACACACACACACACACACACACACACACACACACACACACACGCACACCACACACACACACACACACACACACACACACACACACACACACACACACACACGCCACACACACACACACACACACACACACACACACACACACACACACACACACACACACACACACACACACACACACACACACACACACACACACTCACACACAGCCATACAACATGTGACACTTCAAGGCGGGTGCCGTTAGGTGTTCCTAATAAGCGGAGAGGGAATAATAAAATAAGAACAGACAAGGAAGCAAAGTTAGAAAACCAATTGTATTAAATAATAATAATAAAAATAATAATTACAAATTTTAATTATAAACATAAATTTAATAAATATATATAATTATCACCAATATTTAACATTATTTGCTCCAAATTTTTAAAGTCATTTATTTTAATATAAACAATATTATAAATTTAAATTATATTATAAAAAGATAATATAAAATAACTATAAGCGCTGTTAATACTATTAATAATATATACTCTAAACATGATTAATCAGACATACGAAGATACTAACAATTAAAAATAACAATTGCAAATATAATATAACATTTAAAACAAATTCCATTGTTAAGAATCATAACGTCGAAGCTTATTTAAATCAATAAGTTGACGAGCATGATAAGTTTTTTTGGGTCTAGAGGGGGGGGGAGGAGGGGATTACCAAAGTAGGGGGAGAAAGGGGAGAGTAAGCATGAATGGGGAGGGGGGTAGGCTTGGGGAGGGGGTAGGCTTGGGGGGGGGTAAGTCTTGGGGAGGGGGTAGGCTTGGGGAGGGGGTAGGCTTGGGGAGGGGGTAAGCTTGGGGAGGGGGTAAGCTTGGGTAGGGGGGAGTCTAGGGGAGGGGGGGGGGACATGGCCTACGATCTAGCTATACTTGTTTTGTATACTCTGTTTTGGAAACAAAAAAATCAAAAATTTATTTTCAATTATTTTTCATTTTCAGATTACGTCCATTTTTCGGCCATACGGACAAACTGCCAAATTCAGACGTAATTTTTTAAGGGACAGGTTGGACCAATATGTTCAGCGATCACACCATGCACGCGACCCCCCCACCTCCCCCCCATTCACACCATGCGAGAAAACGAAATTTTCTCTGACAGCCAGGGTTGAAAAATGAGAGAGAGAGAGAGAGAGAGAGAGAGAGAGAGAGAGAGAGAGAGAGAGAGAGAGAGAGAGAGAGAGAGAGAGAGAGAGAGAGAGAGAGAGAGAGAGAGGGGGGGGGGGGAATGTTGCAATAGCGAGGACCCTTCACCTCGCAGTATTCACACTGCATGCGGAGGGAGAGTGAGATAGAGAGATGGAAACAGAGACAGAAGTGAGAGGCAGATAGACAGGGTGGGAAGGCAGATAGATAGATTGATAGGGCGGGGAGGCAGATAGATAGATAGGGTGGGGAGGCAAATAGATAGATAGGGTGGGGAGGCAAATAGATAGATAGGATGAGAAAACAGATAGATAGGGTGGGGAAGTAGACACAAGGGGGAGGCATCGTAAGGCAGATAGATAGATGGGTGGGAGACAGACAAGTAAAGGATAGAGAAAAAGTCCAGGAAATATTTGGAAAATTAAGTCAAGCTTACCCCTGGGTAAATAGGTACCTGGGAGTTAGTCAGCTGTCACGGGCTGCTTCCTGGGGGTGGAGGCCTGGTCGAGGACCGGGCCGCGGGGACACTAAAGCCCCGAAATCAAATCACAAGATACCCCCCCCCCCCAAAAAAAAAAAAACTTTAAAATACAACGCCATATAAACGTGCAGTACAAAATATAATCAACACAACCGAGCAGACAGCTGGGTTCGTACTCGACTCACAATCGGGAATTACGGGTTCGAATCCAGAATGGGACAGACGTGGTTGAGCCTAGCTGTTTACTTAGCAGTAAATAGGTACCCGGGAATTGGTTAATTTGTTGTGAGGTGTCATCCTGGTTGGGGATAGGGGCGGGGGAGCGAATTCGATATAAGCCTATCTTGTACATACACACAGGCTGCCTGTCCCCCGACAAAATGAATTATCCTGTAGGCTGTGAAGAGTACAGACAGGAACGTTAACACAGAGCTCATATATAACACGTTAAAACAACAACCTCATATCACAATACAACAAGCCCCAACCACAATACAAGCCCCCCAACCACAATACAAGCCCCCCAACCACAATACAACAAGCCCCCCAACCACAATACAACAAGCCCCCCAACCACAATACAACAAGCCCCCTAACCACAATACAACAAGCCCCTAACCACAATACAACAAGCCCCCTAACCACAATACAACAAGCCCCAACCACAATACAAGCCCCCAACCACAATACAACAAGCCCCTAACCATAATACAACAAGCCCCCCAACCACAATACAACAAGCCCCCCCAACCACAATACAACAAGCCCCCCAACCACAATACAACAAGCCCCCAACCACAATACAAGCAGCCCCCAACCACAATACAACAAGCCCCCAACCACAATACAAGCCCCCAACCACAATACAACAAGCCTCCCAACCACAATACAACAAGCCCCCTAACCACAATACAACAAGCCCCCTAACCACAATACAACAAGCCCCCTAACCACAATACAACAAGCCCCAACCACAATACAAGCCCCCCAACCACAATACAACAAGCCCCCAACCATAATACAACAAGCCCCCCAACCACAATACAACAAGCCCCCAACCACAATACAACAAGCCCCCCAACCACAATACAACAAGCCCCCCAACCACAATACAACAAGCCCCCCAACCACAATACAAGCAGCCCCCAACCACAATACAACAAGCCCCCAACCACATTACAACAAGCCCCCCAACCACAATACAACAAGCCCCCCAACCACAATACAAGCAGCCCCCCCCCCAACCACAATACAAGCAGCCCCCCCAACCACAATACAAACAGCCCCCCCAACCAAAATACAAGCAGCCCCCATCACAATACACCCCGCCTCTATCACCATACAGAACGCCCTCAATTACCATACAGCACTTTCCCCCTGGCTTAATATAGCAAAGTCCTTGGCACGCTAATTCTATTAGCCGCTTGACACGCCTCGAGCCCAGGAGAGTGAGAGTGAGTGAGTGAGAGAAGCCTACTCCAACTTTTGTCATAACTTTCCACCCTAGGACGCTTGGGACACTGCAACTTCTATTTTCCCATTTTTTCCCCAAGATTGGGGAGAGGAGGAGAGCGTAGATGATGTTCCCACGTTAATTTTGTCCCGTCCTGTGGCAGGCGAGCGGTTGAGGGGTTGGGGGGGTGGGCTTGAGGGGTGATGGATAAAGGTCTGTGATGAAGTGTGGTTGATGGGGTCGTGGTGCTTCCTGTGTTAGTGAGACAAATACCCAATATTGTGCTAGGAACGCACCCACGGCGCGTAAAGAGGCGCCAATTCCCGTCGGTTCAGTTTCTCTCAGTTGCTTTTATGTTGCGATGCAACATCGCAAGCTACGAACAGCGATAAACGCTTTGGAGATGGGGTGTGAAGGAGGAGGAGGATTGAGGTGGGTTTGAAGGGGGGATTGGGCTGGGGTGGGGAAGGGGGGGGGGGGTATTGGGCCAACAAGCCGTGACTGATGGAGTGGGAAGCGGCGGAGGTCGCGTGGCCCGGCA